TACTTACTTACTTCTTACTACTTACGTTACTTACTTACGTTACTTACTTACTACTTACTTACTACGTACTACTACTCTCTCTACTCTCTCTCTCTCTCTCTCTCTCTCTCTCTCTCTCTCTCTCTCTCTCTCTCTCTCTCTCTCTCTCTCTCTCTCTCTCTCTATGCATGTGTCTCAAAAAAAAGAAGACAAACTTAATAATACCATAAACTAGAGAACTTCATCCACAAAAGATTACCATTAATTAAACAACGACCAATTACAATCATTTACAAACCATTGGAGGTTAAACACCTCATGAAATATGAAAAACCCGATACAAATGAAGCTTCAAAAAAGGTAACCCAATTGAGCTGACTCAACCACCAAGTAATTTATTTCTTTCTGCTTCATCAAGTTTCACTCTTCCATTCGAATGATGCAGCAAAGGCATGTCTGTGCCTACCTGCTCAGAGATACGGATCCGACCCAAGGCTTCACTAAAACGAATCACACTCCTATTTGCCTAAGAGTAACGGTTATCACCTGTTAACAAGAATCCTTATCTCTGACTATCCAAACCCAACTATGTATTAATAGATAAACAAATAAGCATGGAAGACTAGAAAGAGAACAAATACCAGAAGTTACGCCTTCTCCTCATGTCAACATAGCCCATTATCAAATCATCAATAGCTTAATCAGTAATCTGGGGATGTATGTGCCTTCTAGAATAGCTAACATAAGCTATCAAAGTGGGCAAGTCTAGACCATCTTGCAATTGGGTCTGGATATTTGTAGACCAATATCAGTCATGCCTATTTATCTGCACAATTTAGTTACCTTTTCTCTACTCACTTACTTGAGAACTCTTTAAGTGTTTGAATTCATAAAAGAAAAACGTTCAAATTAATAAATACAACAAAAATATGGGATCAGCGACACCGAGCATCATTGAAAAAAATAAGAAGAGAAAATGAAATAATAAAACAGTCGCAAGTCACAACAATTATGAAAGCTTGGTCAGCTAAGCTAGAGGTTGACCTCATGAAACATGCTTCTTGCGCTATAAAATATCTTATCAAACCCATCAATACAACAAATGACTTCATTGCTAAAACATAAGCTCCACTTTCCAGCACCTGCACATTATCAACGAAATGCAAATGCTTGCAGATTATTCAATTGCTCAAAAAACTCTCTCAAGGCATGCAATACATAAGATGAAAACCTCAGAAGGGCCCTGCACTTTTCTGCAATTTTTTATGCGATCAAAACACTCAACTGGATTAGTCATGCCTATTTATCTACACAATTTAGTTGCCTTTTCTCTCCTCATATTTACTTGAGAACTCTTTAAGTGTTTGAATTCAAAGCAAAAAATACGCTCAAATAAATAAACATGACAAAAATATGGGATCAGTGACAGCGAGCACCATTGAAAAAAAATAGAGGAGAAAATGTAATAATAAAACTGTTGCAAGTCAAAACAATTAGAGAACCTTGGACAGCTAAGTTAGAGGTTGACCTCATGCATCATGCTTCTTGCGCTATTAGATATCTTATCAAACTCATCAATACAACGAATGCCTTTATTGCTCAAACATAAGCTCCACTTTCCAGCACCTGCACCTTATCAAAGAAATGCAAATGCTTGCAGATTATTCAATTGCTCAAAGACTCAGAGAGTCCAGAATTTTCTCATATACCAGTACTAAAGAGAAAATAAGAACCAGATGAGAACAACGCATGCAATACATAAGATGAAAACCTCAGAAGGGCCCTGCACTTTTCTGCAATTTTTATATGTGATCAAAACATTCAACTGGATTAGTCATGCATATTTATCTGCACAATTTATTTGCCTTTTCTCTCCTCATATTTACTTGAGAACTCTTTAAGTGTTTGAATTCAAAGCAAAAATCGCTCAAATAAATAAACATAGACAAAAATATGGATCAGCGACAGCAGCA